GCGGTCCCTGCCCCGCCCCCGTGGCTGAGTCAGTGGCTGCAGTTTAGTCTCCCAGCCAGGCCGGGAGGCGTGCTTTCAGGCTAACTTGTGGAGTTGCTCAGGACTGCCGCACTGAGCGCTCCGTCCCGGCGCCTTCTGTTGCTGGGTTGCAGCCTCCGGGAGGCTGGAAAAGTCTAGGCCTTGAGGCTTCTCCTTGTCCTGATGTTTCCAGCCGTTTTTGTCCTTCTTTTAACCCCAGGTGCCACAGCCGGTGAGTGGGGTTCATTGAGCTTCGCAGCCGGGAGCCTGGGGCGGCTTCAGGGGTCCCGTGGAATTCTTGAGCGTCGAGGGGACCAACTCACTGGCGGTGCGGCGCGGGTGGGGAGCGGGGAACGGGGTAAGAGCTGGGGGAGATGGGGAGAGGTAGGGTAAGGTCGGGGAGGGGGCCGGAAGCCGGGTGCCGCCTGTTCCCATCACAGCTCAGTCTGGCTTCTGCACTCTCTTTCCAGCTTCTTTTCCGGCTGCACCCACCGTCCCTCCCTCCTTCCTCTTCTTCAGACCTGAGTCCTCTGACACCCCTGGGTCGGAAGGCTGCCCCCACACCCGTGTTCCCCCCACCATCACCCCGACGACGCCGCTCCCCCAACCCCGATGCTGGAGTTTACCAATTCCTTCCCGTTTGAGGGGGATTTTGCCCTCTCAGATGCCTGAGCACTGTTTTTTCTTGCTGTTCTCTGCCCAGCCTTCTTCCCTGCGCTGCCTGTGGGTAAAAGGAAATTCCAGGCAGACAGTGCTCCAGGAACCTCAGTCCCTGGACTTAAGGCCTTTTTTTAGTGACTAGGGAGCTCCAGGAAGGGCCCAAGTGCCGACCACATTTCTTTTCTTTTTTTCTTTCCTTTTTGAGTTTTTTAAAACCACTTAAAATTTTATTTATATATTTATTTTACAATATCATATTTTTTAAATTGAAGTATAGTTGATGTACAATATTATAGCTTATTTTAGACCAGATAGTTTGTACCTCTTAATCCTCCACCTCCATCTTGCCCCTCCCCCTTCCTTCTCCCCACTGGTAACCACTCGTCCCTTCTCTACATCTGCCAGTCTGTTTCTTTTCTGTTATATTCAACTAGTTTGTTGTATTTGTTGTACTTTTTTAGATTCCATATGTAAGTGATGTCTTAGAGTACTTGTCTTTCTCTGTCTGGCCCATTTCACCCAGCACAATGCCCTCCAAGTCCATCCATGCTGTGCACCAGAAACTAATACAACATTTTAAATCAACTGTACTTCAATTAAAAAGCAAACAAACAACCCATTTAAAATATGGGCAAAATAACTGAACAGACGTTTTTCCAAAAGAGGAAATGTAGATGGCCAAAAAGAATATGAAAAATTTCTCATCACTAATATCAGGGAAATGCAAATCAAAATCAAAACGAGATATCATCTCACACCTGTCAGAATGGCCATGATCAAAAAGAACACAAATAACAAATGTTGACAAGGATGTGGATAAAAGGGAACCCTTGAAAACTGTTGGTAGGGATGTAAATTGGTGTAGCCACTATGGAAAACAATATGGAGGTTTCTTAAAAACCCAAAAACAGAACCATTACATGGCCCAGCAATTCCACTCCTGCGCATACATCTAAGAAAAACAAAAACACTACTTCAAAAAGATACACACACCCCACCATTAATAGTAACACTACTTACAGTTGCTAAGCCATGGAAGCATCCCAAGTGCACGTCAAAAGATAAATGGACAAAGAAGATGCAGCACAATTTCTTTATCCAATTACCTGTCAGTGGACACTTAGGTTGTTTCCATGTCATGGCTATTGTGTGTAGTGCTGCTATGAACACTGGGGTGCATTTATCTTTTCGAATTAGAGTTCCCTCTGGATATATGCCCAGGGATTGCTGGATCACATGGTAAGTCTAGTTTTAGTTTTTTTGAGGGATCTCCATACTGTTTTCCATAACGGCTGCACCAAACCACATTCCCACTAGCAGTGTAGGAGCGTTCCCTTTTCTCCACACTCTCTCCAGCATTTATCTTTTGTGGACTTTTTAATAATGGCCATTCTGACTGGTGTGGATACCTCATTGTAGTTTTGATTTGCATTTCTCCAAAAATTAGTGATACTGAGCATTTTTTCATGCGCTTATTGGCCATTTGTATACCTTGATTGGAAAATTACTTGTTTAGGTCTTGCCCATTTTTGGATTGGGTTGTTTCTTTTTTTGTTATTAAAGTATATGAGCTGTTTGTATATTCTGGAAATTAAGCCTTGTCAGTCACATGATTTGCAAATATTTTCTCTTATTCCGTAGGTTGTCTTTTTGTTTTGTTTATGGTTTCCTTTGCTGTGCAAAAGCTTATAAGTTTAATTAGGTCTCATTTGTTTAGTTTTGCTTTTATTTCTATTGCCTGGGTAGACTGCCTTAGGAGAACACTGCTAAGATTTATGTCAGATAATGTTTTGCCTATGTTTTCTTCTAAGAGGCTTAAGTTTATAGTGTCTTGTCTTACATTCAAATCTTTAAGCCATTTTGAGTTTACTTTTGTGCATGCTGCTAAACTCACCCTCTTGAGGCCTCCACTCTCCACCCCATAGGTGCTGGACTGCACTTGCCCTGGTCCCTCTGCACCTCCCCCTATGGCACCTTACCCTGCTCCCACCCCTGCCCACCTGCCTTGGACTCTCACCAAGTTCTCATCAGTCACAAGCCCCCTCCTCTGGGAACCAGTATTCTCAAGGTCCCTCACCCAGAGCACTCCTCCTGTTCTGTCTTCACCCTAATCCAAGGTCTCCCAGAGTCACCCTTGAGCCCCACTCATCCCCTGTTCCCCAATCCCAGGCATGATCCCCTCTGCAACCCTTCCCCCTGAAAGAATCCTTGGTCCAACTGCCCAGCTCCTTGGCCTTCAATATCTTCTTTGGTCCCTTGACCCCAGTGAGCTATCACTACCTCAGTCATGTATCCAAAGTCCTTGTTTATGCCACCTGGTGGGCTGGCCTTTCCCTACAGGGGCCTTCTCCCAGCACCACCCCTCCTGCACTGGATGTCTGACCCTACCCCTCTGTGGGGTAAGACCTGCCCCCCAAACCACTCCCACCATGTAGGTCCTTTCCAATGTGCACTAGGCACTGAAGTTCTATTTTCTCTTGCCAGCCCCTCCTTCTAATTCTAGATGGTCCTTGGGCACACTGCATTGACCCTTTGAATCCCTCAACACCTACCTCTCCCCAGGGCACACTGGCAGGTTTATTCCCCTCCCCTAAGTGGGGCCTCACCATGCCTCTTGCACTCTGGACCCAGACCCCCTCCTTCAGCTCCCCCGGGGGGCACTGGCCTACCTGAAACTCTGTTAGTGCCACAAGCCAGCCCCGCAGGCCCCTCTGCCTCCTGCCTCACCCTCCCTTGACTCCACCTTGTCCCCAGTGAGCCTTCACCACAGACAGCAGGCCTCGCTCTCCACCTCACCCTGACCCACCCCTGACCCACCCCTGACCCAGGGAGCCCTCTGCCAGGTGGGCCCCTCTGATCCTGGGCCTGCTAAGGCCCCTGCTTCCCTTCTGGTCCACCTCCCCTCACCCTGGTCTTCTTGCCTCTCTCTGCCTCTCCCTTCCTCCGCAGGCCAGCCTCTCCCCGGACCTCTTACCTGGACCCTTAGGGAGCCAGTGTTGCCCTGTCCTGGCACCTGTCCTACATGTTTGCCATCTCTGTCCTCCTCCCCCAATTCATTCCTCAGTTCCTAGCTCCTTCCTTTCTCCTTTCCTTTTATTCCTGTGTGGAAATCCTCATTCTCGTCCCTCGGTACACATGCCTGTTCTGCATCCTTGAGATCTGGAGAAGGTCAGGACAGCAGAACCTTTCTGTTCAACATTTGATGGGCCCTCGTTTCCAGAAAGCAGTCTCACCTGCACTCCGTCCTCCCCAGGATCGCACAGTCTCCATTACAGCCTCACAGTGCTGTGCCAGGACGGGTTTGTGCAGCCGAGCTTTTCAGCTGAGGGACGCTTGGATGGTCAGGCCTTCCTGCACTATGACAGTGGGAAGGGCAGGGCAGAGCCCCAGGGACCGTGGGCAGAAGACTTTGCAGCTGAGACGTGGGACACAGAGATCAAGGACTTGACAGAGAATGGAAGGGACCTCAGACAACTTCTGGCAGAAACAATGTCCCTGCAGGAGGAGAAAGGAGGTGAGAGTGGGGAAGGGGCGAAAGTGCTGTGAGGCATTTCCCAGGCAAGTCTGGGCCCAGAACAGGGATCTGTCTCTTTCCCCTGGATTTGGTGGGGGAGGGGAATGCTGAGGAAGGGGGATCTGTGAAGTCAGCAGGGAGGTGACCGTGACTCAGCCCGCACAGGGAAGACAAGGAGGGCAGCAGAGAGGGAGCCCTCTGGCTGGAATTTCTCACTTGGGCCGAAGGGCAGAAGGACATGGAACCAGAACCGGAGGGTCACTGCTCGGTGGGGGCAGGCTTGCATTCCCTGCAGGAGACTGTGGGCTGTGAAATCCGAGAAGATGGCCAGGCCAGGGGCTTCAGGAGTATCTGCTATGATGGGAAGCTCTTCCTCTCCTGTCACCTGGAGACCCATGGATGTAGAGTGCCCCAGTCCCTGGATCAGACCTTGGCCATGGAAATCAAGAAGTCCTGGGACACGGATGGCTTTCAAAGCAAGCACTACCGGGCCCATGTGCAGGGAGAGCTTTGTGCAAGACTGCAGAGCTACGTGGAGTCCCGGATGGGCTTCACGGACAGAACAGGTACTGACCCTGGGCCGGGGCCTTCCTGTCCCCGACCCCTGGAGCCTCCCCGCCCCAGCTCTGCCCACAGAAACCCTCCCTACAGTCCGGGTGCATGTATGTCGCATTGGCGTGTTGTGTTGCGATTTGCTGTTCTGTTAAACATCTGTAGAGAGACGGGCAGGTACAGGAGGGGAGGGGAAGGAACCATCCCAGTGACAGTAATCCAGGGAAGCAGCGGGCCCTCTGACAGAAAACTGTCCCGGGAAGGTGGGTGTCAGGCAGGAGAGGAAGCTCCTAGACTAGGGGTCGGCCCCCTGGCTCCCAGCCTTTCTGTCACAGCAGGTTCCCTCCTGGTCCCTGAGAGCCCAGCCCTCACATCTCCCTCCTCAGCATCACATGTAGATCCAGTCTCGGCCCATCCTCCTGCCTGTCTAAAGGAACTGGGCCCCAGGGTGTCGAGCAGACTTGGAGAAGGGCTGGGGTGGGTGAGGGCTCAGCCAGAGTTGGAGAGGTAGTGGGGAGCAGCCCCATTCTCTCGTCTCCCTTAGAGGGGAGCAGGGTGTGGCCACAAGCCTCACTGGCTCTGTGCTCCCAGTGCCTCCAGCAGTGAACGTGACCCTCAGCCAGGCCTTGGAGGGCAGGGTCAACCTGTCCTGCTGGGCTTTTGGCTTCTTTCTCCGGAATATCTCAGTGGCCTGGCTTCAGGATGAGGACCGCGTGAACCAGGATGCCCAGCAGTCTGGGGGTGTCCTGCCTGATGGGAACGGAACTTACTGGACCTGGGTGACCATAAATATTCCCCAAGGAGAGAAGCAGAGGTTCACGTGCCACGAGGACCACAGCGGGAATCACAGTGCACACCCTGCGTCCTCTGGTGAGGCTGGGGTGATCCCTGGGAGGGTCAGAGACCAGGGTCGGGGAGAGGGAGCCAGGATTATAAGAAGGCTCTTTCCCAGGAAATACCCTGATGCACTGGAGCCCATGGCTGATTCTGGCTGCTGCTGTGGTTTGTGTTATTTCCATCATGTTTTGATCCAAGAAGACGACGACATCAGCTGTGGAGAGCCCAGGTAAGAAATCTGGGCAGAGGGAGGGAAGCGGGGTGCTCTGCCTAGGATGTAGGGTCCCCTAGATGCCCCTCTGCACAGAAACGAGAAGATAACAAGCCTCTGCAACAAGAAGTGGGTGATGGACATTTGTGAGGGGAATGGGAGCCACATCTGCTTTAAGCCCTCAGCCCCGCTCAAAGCCAGGGCTAGGCTGGGCCCTTAGAGTCTGGCTGGGGCCTCTCCTTGCTCTGGATGAGACTGGGTGGCAGTGACGGTTGTGTGCTCTGTTTTCATCCCTTTCTTGCTACTCTCAGGCCCGCCAGGCCTCATCTAGGGGGATGTGTTGGATCATGTGCTGGTTGCGAGGGTCTAGGTGATCCTGGAATCAGAGGTCTAGCCACACTGAGAAGCAGGTCCCCTACAGGTAGTGAGGGCAGGTCCTGGTTGAATCCCTGCTTGGAACAGGGCAGGAGGGACGTGCAGCTTCGCCAAGCAGCAGCACTTGGGGTGGAGTTGAGATTTCAGGAGCCAGTGGACCAGGAAGGAGCAGGGAAGGCCAAGTGCAGCCCGAGAGCCTGGGTGGGGAGTGAGGGGCAGGGCGGGGCCAGGCCTCTGTGAGCAGGGGCTGCTCCAGGGTCAGGTCAGGTACAGAGCCTGGGGCGGCCCAGTTTTTCTAGTTGGGCCTGCAGGTCACCTGGGCTTCCCAGTGGGCTTTCCAGTGAGGAGCTACTGGCTCAGGGCCTGGGGAAGGCAGGAGGCTGGGCTGCAGGTGGGAGGTCAGGGCCTGAGATGCAGGTGCTGGCGCAGGTGAAGCGGCCTGAGAAGTGAGGAGAGAAAGGAGTTGTGTGTGTGTCCATTCCCAGGCCTGGAGGAACATGGAGCCAGGGTCTGTCTGGTGGGCAGCCTGGCACCAGGTCGAGGGAGGCATCTGGACTGAAGTGTCCACTCCTGGATCTTGTCCTCTAGTCCTGTGGACTTTTGTCCCTTGCATGGAGGGTTCTGGAAGCAGGGACAGGTGATGATGTTGAGGGAGGCAGGGGAGGATTCCAGCCAGGGCGGGGGACAGTGGGGTGAGCGGGAACAAAGGAGGAGTGTCGTCGTCCCTCGGAGAAAGGCAGAGTCTGATTTTGGAGCAACTGAAGGAGAATCTCTAAGGGAATAGAAAGCAATATTCTGCAACCAGTTGGTCATTTATTTATTGGTTTCTCTTTTTTTTCCAGAGCACATTAGCCTACAAGACCTGGCTCCACACCGCCGTAGTAGCCTCACAACTGGAATTTAAGTCTTCGTAGTCAGATCAATTCAACTGCGGGAGCTTAGATTCTGCACCTGGGAGGCCTAAATTCAGCTCCCCACTCTGGTCTGACTGGAAATTTCCCTCTTGATACCTCAGTTTCCTCATCCACAAAATGAGAAAAACTGTTTATTTCCAAGTGAGGTTCATAGGACTAAAACTGGAATATATATGAGGTGCTTCCAGCTGCTCCACACTATTTAACACTATTCTTATTATATTAGAGTAATATATTAAATGGACTGGTTATATTATTATAAATAAGATTTATCTGTAAATTCCTTCATTGCCGCTCCTCCTGAGGAGACTTATTGTAGGTTTCTGGAAACCTGATGTTCCCTTCACCCCCGTCGCACTTGTATATCCATTACTTCACTCTGCAGTATCTTTATAATTTCACGTTATAAATTTTAATGCTCTTTAAACACACATATCTGGTCTATGTTTTATTTCCTGGGTCTGGAAAGGGATATCAGAGAAGGAGAGGTATATCTCCATGCCTCGAGGCAGCACTGAAAATTCTGCTCCCCCGACCCCTCCAGCTCCCAGTGACTGACAGAGTCACAACAGAAGCATACAGGGCTGGGAGAAGATGCAATGGAACGCCTGGGCCAATGTTCAGGGGCTGACCCTGAGGCGGAAATCTTCCCTGAATAGTTGGAACCCTCATGTGATGAAGCAGAGCTGAAGAGTGACATCAGGGGAGGGGACAGGGACGTTGCTTTGGGGTTTCCTGATTATAAGAATAGGGGTCTGTCTGCTCCTGGGGTGAAGTGACTGCTGAGGACTAGGCTGATGAGAGAGTAAAGGAACACGGAATGTGAGTGAATCAGTCATACATCAGCATGTCTCTCCATCAGTTCAGAATGATTTCTGCAAGGCAAATGGGGAGGTGAGATATTTATCCACCTGATGCTTAGTCCTTCCTAACTTCTGGTCTTGGGGCATGCGTGTGCGTAGTGCTTTTTCCAGTCAGGACAAACTTAGCCCCGCCCAGGTAAAGCACTGATGGCAGAGTGGGCTAGGGGGGACCTCCCACAGACTGGAAGCAGCTGAGGGGAGTGCCTTCTGCAGCAGGACCTGCCTGGAAGCAAGATGATGATGAAGGGTCCTAGTCAGGTACTGTTCCCTCTCTCCCTGGTTCATAAGGTGCACGGTAAGGTGGCTGGGATAAAGAATTCATTCACCCATCTATTTACCCAGCTTTGTGTATATTGACAAATTCTTTCACGTTTTTATTCAGGATTGATGCCATCCACACACCTGTGCATGTATGTTTCCATTTGAGTATTCTTGCTTTTTAGTCAGTTCTCAAGTATCATTTGTTGTCGTCAGTTGTCACTAAGCATAAAATTTTATACCCATTCAATTTTTTTGTGGTTATTTTAATCAAAGGCACAATTGCCTGTAAGTTAAGGAGTCAAATATCTGCACAAGATTTCTCATGAAATGTACTATATTGTAGTCCTGTCTGTTTCCTCTCAATTTCTGCCTTCCCAGAGGTGACTGCTTTCAATATTTTTCAGCTGATTCCTTTGGCTTTTACTTCCAAATCTCTAAACACCATGCCTTTACTACTGCTGCTTGATTTTTCTGCTGCAGCCACTGTCGGTTGCATCACAACAGTGGCTGATGCAATAGTTAATAGTCATTGTTTCCTTTCATTCTTCCCATTCCTTCTTTTTCCCAGTATATTTAAATGGGAATCATGTTTAGCTGACTCAGTGTTTTCTTTTCCATGACTAATGCTCTCGTATGTAAACTCTACTACTTCTCACTTTCTGCACAACCTCTTGTTCTCCCTGGAGTTAATAATTGCCTTTGTTTTCGTCTGATTATTTTCTACGTAGCTGTCACTAATTCAACTTTGCCATTTCTTCTATTTGGATGACTCTTTCAAGAAGTGAGGATACTTTGGGTATTCTATCAATTTTTCCTTCTTAGAACTATCCCTCCTGGGCCCTTCTGACGTGTTCCCACCTGGGCTGGATTCTTCTACATCTGGAGCAGAGCCACCCTCCTAGGATCTCTCTCCACCGCCATCTTGGCAGGGTTTTTAAGTGCAGTGGCGTCACCTGGGCATCCTACTAAGATGCAGATTGATTAAGAGTGCCAAGGATGGGAACTGTGAGCTTGGTTTTCATGCAGTGCTGATTCTGCTGGTCCGTGTTTGGTAGCTGAGGTAGAAAGTATCTTGCGTCTTTCTTCTGTGTTGTATGTCCAGTCTTCTGTAGTCTACTTCTTTCTCTTCTCTTTTTTTTTAATGGTAAATCCACATGAATACATTTTAATTAATTAATGTGTTTTCTTTTACAATGAGTAATAGGATTAAGTAACTTTATTGTGGTAAAAAAACACATAAGGTAATATTTACCACTTAACCATTTTTAAGTGTACAGTACAGTGGTGTTAAATATTAAATAAATAAATTATTGAGATCACTAGAACTCTCTCATCTTGCAAAACTGAAACTCTCTATCTATTGAACAAAAACTCTCCAGGCTTCTCTCCCCACTGGTCCCTGGCAACCACTATTATCTTTTCTGTTTCTAAGAGTTTGACTACTTTAGGTACTTTATGTAAGTGGACTCATGCAGTATGTCTTCTGTGACTGGCTTATTTCACTCAGTATAATGTCCTGAGAGCTCATCCATGCAAATGACAAGATTTCCTTCATTTTACAGCTGAATAATATTCAATTATACGTGTATACCACATTTTCTTTATCCATGTATCTGTCAATGCACAAACAGGTTGCTTCCGCCTCTTGGCTTTTGTGAAAAATGCTGCAATTAATGTGGATATGCACACTTCCTCTATTTTACACCTTCTCTCATTTTGGTGGAATTAATATTTTAGTGGTTTCTTATGAGCATATTTAAAGTACATGATAGGTACTTCAAAATGTATTATTCTTTGGCTTGATGGATCGTTTGGCTAGGTGACGAATTCCGTGCCAGGATTCTTCCTTCTGAATTTTGAAGGCATTGCTCCATGTTTTTATTTCCTCTCTTGAAGAAACAGAGAGAGAAAGAGAGAGGGCATGCAGAAATCTTCAGTGTAACAATCCCATTTCAGGCATGCCCGCAATTTAGGGATTGTGGCAGAGATTCATGGCTACTGTTTTTGTATTTGTTGCTGTGATAATTGGCATTTAGAGGAAGAAGAAACATCACACAAAGCATGTAAAGGTAAGAATCAACTGGGATACCAGGAAACAAGACCGTAAGACTCAGATTTTCCAGGGAAGGAGTTTGGACTTATTTTTTCAATCCCTTGTCTCTACCAGTCCAGTACCAAGCCATGTTTGGGCATGGAACTCTCAGTTCACTGATCTTGTCATATATTTTTGTCCATGGAAAAGGACAGGGCAGCAGCTGAGTGACATGAGTGACTGTTCTCAACTCATCCTAGAACATGGACCCAACGAGGCTTCAGAAGACAGCTCTAGACCTCCTCTTCCCTTAACTTGATTTGAGACTGAGAGTCACTCCTCTTGAGTTTCCTTTTAAGCATCAGCAACAATGACTGTTCTGAGCTACATGGCAGGATGTAAAGACCAGAGTGGAGTGAGAAAAGGTTAGGTTATAGTGTTCACCTGAGCTTTAGTGAAGCTTTACAAAATGTAACCAGGCAAAATGCTGACCCATATAAAGAGGTTGTTTTAGCAGAAACACCATATCCAACATTTTCTTTCACCCGGCTCCTATCACCCTAGAGTCAGAGACCAGGCACTCTGCTCCAGCTCTGCTGCAGAACAAGATGGTTCCTGCACTACAAAGCGTATCTTGCTGTGTTTCCCTGATTTTCACATGGCTTATTACTGCATCCAAAACTCCATCACGCTATTAAAGTTGGGTTTGGAGGGAAGTCATTCAGAGAAAAGGTAAAGCCTGTTAAGTATCTTCTCTTCAAGAGGAAGATAAGATAAAACACTGGAGGGGGGAGGGTATAGCTCAGTGGTACAGTAAATGCTTAGTATGCACGAGGTCCTAGGTTCAAGCCTCAGTACCTCCTCTAAAAAAAGAAATAAATAAACCTTCTTACCTCCACTCTGCCCCCAAAATACCAATTAACCTTAGACTATTAGGGGAAAAAAACAGCCCTCATTTAAAAGAATTCTGAGTGACCATTGAAACAATGGGAACAGTATATACCATAACCATATAAGTTCAAAGTATATGTGGTTGACATCATTGCTTAGGTGATTAACCCCACCTTCATTCCAGTGGTTGGTCAGGGGTGCCCATCTGATGTAATTCTGGCCAGTGACATGGAAGTGGAGATTTACAGTAGGACATGCTGCTTTTTTGGAAAAAATAAATTTTTTTAAGATTGCCATGCAGTTACAGAATTACTTAATATAGAAAACAAGTAAAAGTACTTGTTTTGGGGGGACCCTTCCTAGAGCTTCTGGTCACTAGAAAAATGTCCCTAACTCCAGGGACTGAGGCCCCTTGAGCACAGCCTCCTGGAAACTCCCTGTTAGAAGAGGCCGGAATTGGGAAGAAAGGGGAAGGACAGTCCTGAACAGACACTTGAGTGACACCGAAACCTTCCTGGACCCCTGGAAATGCCCCAGCCTCCTGCCTGAGGACCTCACTGAACCCCACTCACCAGCGGTGGTACCCAGGGGTGGAAAAAAGGCAGCGCTGGACAGAAGCAGGAGGACGTGGTCCAGCCACGTGACAATGATTTTGTCTTAGAACTGCCTGAGTAGCGGAGATGCTGCTTTAGAAAATTAACTAAAACATCTGATTCGCCTTTCTCCAGCTAAAAAAGAAAATCTAGACTCTTCTAATTAAATCAGAAGGAGGAAATAACTTGCGTTAAAAAAAAATCAGAAGGAGGGATTCTCTTGTAGGCCCTTGAGCCCTGCCAAATGAACAGACAAAATGAGTCAGGGAGAAGTCAGTGGGCTGGGCCTAGTACCAGAGCCACCAGAGAAAAATGAGAGCTGGGAAAGCTTTTTTTTTCTTTTGGAAGATTTCTCCTCCTTTTTTTTTTTTTTTTTTTTTTGGTTGTTGTTGCTATTGTTGGAAACTTTTTCTCCTTCTTGGTTTGTTTGTTTAAGCTTTCTCCTCTTTTTTTTTTTTTAACACCTTTATTGTGGTATGATTGCTGTACAGTAAACTACGCATATTCAGATTGGGAAAACTTTTTTTTTAAAGAATCTCCACGGAGGTGTGACTGGGGCTGAGTGCAGTCAAAAGCCACAGGGAAGGGCTCTGAGCAGCTAAGTGTTAGCAGCCCAACCTCAGAAGCACCCAGATCACTGCCACTCTCCCCAGCAAAGGAGATTCCTCGCCAGGAGCAGCTCTGGTCTCACCAAGCTCCTCTAGAGACAGCCACCTGGCTGGTCTTTCACTGCTTCTTCGTTCCCAGTGTTGGCTCCCACAGCCCCTCCCTCAGCTACACACAGCAACATTATTGGCAGGGTCACTGGGGATCAGGTTTGTAGACCTATTTGCAGATTTCAGCCACCTCTGCCTCTCAGAAACCACTTCCCCAGTTGCCTCACTCTCCTAGATGTTACCACCATTATGATCTCCTCCTCCTCTTCCCAATGACTCCAAGACCCAGCCAGGTCTCCTTTCCTGTAGCCTCATCCGGTAAGTGTCGGACTTAGCCAGAGCCACCTCTAGATTCAGCCCCCGCAGCGGGGTGGT